ATAATACACAGTTCTTCAGGTCCAATCACTTTATATGTGCAAAAGCCTTTTAGATGAAGTGAGTACAGTTTTAAATGTTTTCCACTGGCCTTCTAAAGCTAAGTTTTGGCTAACGTTAGCTTGTTGTTAGCTTGCTGAAATTGTTGATTGTCGTTTCCAACCGTTCTAATTTACATCATCTTTTGTGCTATAACTATCTGCTGACGTATCATATCTCCGTAGTCACTGTAGTAAAACACATTAGCATTCATGCTAGTTCGTACTGTGACTATGGATATTTTTACTGCCCGAAACCTTAGGTTTGGTTCTCATAGTCCACCTCACTGTGTTCAACATCAATGTACATAAGGGTACCAAGTGTATTCTTGGTACTGTGATTCTATATATCATTAGTCACTTTCTATTCTTTCTTTTTTTTAATGTTTATGTCACATTTAATGGATTATGAAAATTAGTTTCAGCCACAGACTTCATCCAGTCAGACTTGACTTATTATCTCATATGTTTGGAGAGCAAACTGTTGGGGAAGTGGTCTCACTTTATTCCATATATTTATTGCCACTTCTTTATTATCTCGGCCTCCAATAATATTTATGTGGAAGAGAGCTGATAGGAGCCCAGTTCCACAAACACAGATCAAGTGCTGGGAGGGTTGATGGTCCAGGGTGTCGAGCCCAGAGAGAGGAATCTGCCTAAGTAAACTCAGCGGAGCACAGAGGAATTATGTTCTGGAACGTGGTGGTGTAATCTGAGTACGGCAGCAGCCTGAGGGAACTGGGCTCAGTTTTCCAAAAAAAAAAAGAAAAAAAAAGGCCTCTATCTGGGCTGATGTGTAGTGAGGTCGGTGTGTAACAGAGAATATTCAGGGGAAGTAGATGGAGGACTGAACGGCTCAGTCAGGGAAACAGTTCTGAGGGAAACCTTACACCTCACTCTGGCACCAGCACACAAGTCCTTTCTTTCTTTGTCTTTTTCTTCTCCTCTGTCTCAAACAGGGCCGGCACAAGCTTTTAATGGGTGAGGGGGGGCAGGGAGGGGTGCTGCATCACTGCCACTTGAACACAAAGCAAACAATGCCAACAGTTGTGGCAAATAAGTATGAAATTTCTCCTTGCTTTGGCTTTCAAAGCAGCTGCCATCTGTAACATTGCATTCCCACCTCTGGGTGGCAGGACATTATACTTTTATATTTCCTGCCAAAATGCGCTGTTTTTGGAGGTCTACAGACGCAAGTTACAGTCGGTGCTGTATACAGCCAAACAGACAGCTGCCGTCTTGGTATACGCAGTAGGATTTTTGGCTGTCCCAGACGGCCATCGGAGGACAAACGTGGACATATCTTTGGTCGTGGCTCTAAGACGGTGGTCTTATTGACAACATCTCACAGTGTGTCGAGGCCAATAGACGAGCGGCGGAGTTTTACTTTGTAGCCAGTGGACAATGGTTAGTCGAACAAATCTAAATGTTTTCCTTTTTCCTGTGGAAAATGTTGTCATGAGCAATGACCATGAGCAATGGTCTGGGTTTTTATGCAACTTTTCCTTTAAACAGTGGTTTGTAGACTGTCAAAGCAAAGATACATCACTTTTTCTGTTTCCTCCTCACACACTTTTCCTTCCCTATCTCCTTTATCTCATCCTTTTCCACTATCCCTCATGTCCAGGTCTCCTGATGATCCTCTGTTTCCAAAACACTTTCCACTGCTTTTCCATTCATTCCTTTCCTATTCTTCAGCATCGCAACTGTTTTACTGGAATTTTCTGGACTTTAACCAGCCGATCCATTTGTTTTATCCATCTTTTTTCCTCCTTCTTCTGTCTTTGTCCTGACACCTTGTCCTCTCTGACCTTCTCCATCTCCATCTCATCAGCTCATCTGAAAACACCGACGTGTCCGTCAAAACGTGTGAAGACATTTAAAGCTCGCGAGTCAAGTCCAAACATTAAAAGCATCTTAAACTGTCAAGACCAAACAGGAAGTGATCTTTTTTCTGTGTAGGTCAGAACACAATAAAAAAAATACTGCAGAACTTACTAAAGGTGGAGTTAAACAAAAGGCTCCAAAACAGTCAAATAAAATCAACTACTGTAAAATTAACTAAAGGTTAGCATAAAAGCTAAACCCAGCATTGTCATAACAGATGCTACGCCAGACGTTAGCCCATAACATTAGCAACACAAATCAAAAGCAAGTGAAAGTCACTTAAAAAGCAGCAACAAGCTGACCAAAATAGTTTAACGTCAGCTGAAAGATGGACATTAGATAAATTGGACAGAAATATCCCTGAGTGCTGCTCAAAGCTAACTGCACATAAAACCCCTCCTTGTGCCACCACTGGCCCAAGGACCCAGGACCCAGCTGCTCCTCGGTGTTGAGGCCTGATGCCTTCACCAGCGTCCAGCTGAAAAGAAACTATAATTTTCTATTTGTGGAGCTGCTCCACGCATCCCAACATTTATGAGACAAAAAACCACAGTGCAGTCTGTGGGGGGACACAATGTTCTGTCCCGGGTGTCGGTCCACTCCTGGGTCCTGTCCTGCTCGGCCTTTTTTTCCTGGGCACAGCTTCAGACTCTGACTGTTTCCACAGGCGAGCGCCTGCTGACCCAGGAATGTGGACAGGAGTTTGTTAGAGAGTTTTACGAGGCTGAGCGGAGATTTTGACTTGCGTTTGACTTGTGAGTGTTTGACTTGCGAGAGATCGACTTGTGAGTGTGTGTGTGCCGTTCACTCTCCTCGTGGAACACAGCTTGTTCTTCTTCGGAGGGTCTCCTGAACTTGGTGGTTCCCTGACTTGGATCTTGGTCTATCTGTCCCCTCACACTGTTTATCATCACTTTCACTTTTGACCACGCCTTGGTAGAAGTGGTTAGTGCTCTTGCTCCCCTCAGAAATTCTTAAAAAGGTCTTGCTGCACCTGCTGACACTCCACAACAGTTTGACTACTTTCTTACCAAAGGTTCCCAAATTTTCAGTCTTTTTCGTACCAAAGACTTTTGTCCCACTTCAAAGCTGCAATTCAATTTTGAAAAATCTCACAGAAGAAATCAAATCACAAATCAGTGCAAATTAGTCAAAGAAAATATTCAAATTGAAACCAATTACATCCTCATCCTTGTCTTCTTTCACGACACCTGCGACACTGCAGCTCTACGCCTTCCTACAACCACTGCCATAAATCAACGACATGTGGTGATTCGCTACTTTTGCATAAATATGTATGAGAATAAAACCAGGGATAACACACACCGTAGGACAGTGACGGCGCTAGAAATTCTTGGTCTAAAACTCTGACCTTCTCTCTGCAGTCGCTTCAACCATGTGGCCTGTCCATCATCCCTGCTGTTTCCATGGCAGGAAGTTAGAAACCCAGTAATGTGCTGCTCAACAAGGGCGGTGACGACGCTGCACCACCGCGTGCAAAAACCTCCTGAATGACCCAGAGAGATTTGTGTGATGGTTTAATGGTCAGAGTTTGTGCAGCCCAGACTGTAGTGGCTGTTTGTTCAACCCTGTGAATATTTTATAACAGAGCTGTGCACACTCACTTCAAGACACCCTTGATTGCTTGAATGTAGCAAAATGAATAACAATCAACTTCATGTTTGCACCAAATAGCCAAAGCTAAATGCTCACAGAAATGTAGCCACAATTTAATGAAAAACGAAGAACATTTAGTCCTGAAAAAATGAACAGCCTCAGCAAAAAGAGTTCAAATAAGTTGCAAATATAAAAAAATTGGCAAAACCCAATTGTATCTGCCACGTTGTTTTGCACTTGTAATGACATTTTGAGTACGGTAACAAAGAGCTTATGTTGTTGCGTTAAAGTGCATTTTTCCTGATGTGTGACACAGCGTCATATTGAGAAAAAGCTGCAGGGCCTGAAGCATAACCTGTTATATACTTTCACAGTGAAAAAGAAACACGGCTCGAGTGTCAGTCTTTCTATGCGAGTGTGAGTGTGTGTGAGGTGACGCGTCCCCTGAAGAATGCTGTTCTCTTCCTCTGGCCCGTGGCTTCAGTTTCCCCTCTGATTTCTCCTCTTCTTACTTCAGCCCAGGAGCTGTCGCTTGAGGAATCTGGAAAACACCAGCGGGGAATGAGTGGAATTTCTGCTCTTGATTTTTTTCTCCTCCAAACCAACCCCTGAAACCCGGCTGGCTCGGACTCTTTCTCCTTGGCACGACCGGACTCTTGAGTTTTCTCTTGTTTCTGAACGTGGCCCAACAATAACAACCTCGCATAAACAATGGCTCTTGTTGATTATGGAGGGAGGAGTGGGGGTGAGGAGGAGAGAGGCTTCTGCTGGCACGAAGGGTTCCTTAAAGTTGGAAAATTCAGGCTACACGCAGGACTGGGACAAATTTTAGGGGCAAACCTTTCAGAAAAAACTGCAGCATAAACACATGCTTTAGTCCTTTCTTAATCCATCTTTCCTCAAAAAAGGGGGGGGAGCTGGTCAGTGTCAGGAAACCACAAAAGTACAGAGGCAACGGGAAAGAAAATAGGAGTTTTTTTTTTGGAGTTTTCAGCCGCGGAATCGTTAGAGAGTCTGAAGTTCATCCTTTTTCAGGCCTTTGGGCACAAAGTCATGATGCCATTTTCTTTTTTAATTTTTCCATAGAGTCGAACCCTGTGTCTGTGATGTGTCCTGGAATAACTGTCTCTGCACGTTTTTCCATTCCATCCCACACCGTGTCCCGCTTTGATTACTCCTGAATCAACGGAATCAAAATAAAACGTCAAAACAAATTTGTTCAAAAGCAGCGTCGTAAACAAAACCGCCGGACTTTCTTCTAATCACCGACAGGCTTCATTCCACAGAACGACAATTTTCTTAGGAAATATAATTGGTTTTCAAAACATCTGAGATGCACAGAGGACACACGCTTCAAGCAGGGCCTTCAGTGGATAAGTGGAGGGTATGATGCCACCTTGTGGACAAACTTGCTGTAATCTCAAGATTTGTTGCAGGAAGGACTTGAGAGGAATCCCCTGTGCAATGTCCGGTTTATACATTTTTATTTTTTTTATTAATAAGACAGACATGGAATAGTATTTACATCAGAACTCTGTTGACTCACACACTTTAATTAGACATGGAATAAAAATGTTCTCTTCATCCAAACACCAGCGTGTTGCAGGACATTTTTAAATCATTTGTTGTTAGGTTTGAAAGGATCAGACCAGATCTTCACACCTGCGGGTCAGAAGAGACTAAACGTTAGCTGGATGTTCTTGATGACATCAGGAACATCCAGCTTTGCATTTGACTCAGACTCTGTAGAAGAGCTCACCTTCTACAGAGTCTGAATCAGGCACAGAGGCATTAGCTCTAGAAGAGTAATACTACAGTAACAAAAACTATTACTCTTGACTGTAAAATCTCTTAAACATTGTATAATGTTGTGGTATCTACACTTAACATCTGCTTGGCTGAATTGCAAAACAGACTAGGGTTAGGGTTACACTTAAGATCTGCTTGGCTGAATTGCAAAACAGACACAGAGGCACTGATAATCAATGAGCAACACTACAGCAAAAGGCCACAGCCATAACGGCATCATTTTAGAATACATTGATGACAAAAAGCAAAGCAACTCGGCAGCAGATGTTGTAATGTGCAAACACCAGAGCGTTAGCTGTAGAACAGCAACACTGAGGTTGAATTAAAGGCTGTTTTTCAGAGAAGTCACCTCACTGCACAGTACACAGGTCAGAGCCACTGTGTTTATGTGTGAAACTCATCTCATTCAATGTCGTGCTCTTACCCACAGGCTGAACATCTGCCTGGTTGATTCCTGCTCGGTTCATCTTCTGGACTTCTCCTAGGAAATAAAACGGTAGGTAAAAGCTGTAGTGGAAGATATTTGTAGTCATTAAAAAAGACTTTTCGCAGGTGCACTTTTATGTCAGGGGTGGCCAAAAGTCAGTCAACCTGAACTAAGTTTTGTTTTGGTGTCAGTAAGTTCATTTGGAAATTTTAATTTCCAATTAAATTTGAAATAAAAGTTGAAATAAACCTTTTAGTAATAAAACCTAACGTGTTCTTTTTCAGCTGCTCCATTCAAAGGCTATTTTGGTCAAACAAGCTGCAGTTTTTCATTATTTTATTTGCAGTATTCTCCGCTATTTAGGTAGTTTACTATATTTTGACCTGTATATATACATAACGTTCTCTTATAACTGCAGTTTTCTTGGTGTGTGTTACTATAGGCTATGACGTAATTACCTTTATGACACATTTTGGATACGTTAGAGCGACTTTTGAATACATGGGTCGTTCGGACACTCCTGTCCGTTGAAGACAGATCGAAATCTCTTACTAAAATATTAATTACGTCCACATATGACATGACGTCAGGCCGGTAACAGAGAAAGAAAGCTATAACTTACTGTACTCCTCTTTGTGTGTGAACGGGTGGAAGAAAATTGGGTAAAAAGCAGCGGCGACAGTGGTGATAAAACCACCGAAAATCCACATTCTCACATTTCTCGACATGTTTGTGCTACATGTGAATAAACTGTCTCCTTCAAACAACGTCGCCTTTTCAAGTCTTTATTTCCGGCGTAAAGGTCATTAAGCTGCGCTTTTTAGACTGTTTTTGATCGCTGTGGGTTTCCGTACGGAGTGATGACGACAGAGTCACGTGCTGCAGCTCAAACAATAACACGGAAGTTTCTACTCTTCTCTACTGCTTGCGGGCTGTGTCCATCATAACAAGTAGTAGTAGTAATACTATATTAATACTAATAATAACACTACCAATAAAAATAATAACAAAAGTTTGTAATCATACAATATGAAGCCGCGGTTGTGTTGGTGTTTTTATGTGAAGTTTTAGATGAGAATAAAACCAATCCAGACTTTTGTGATTCCTCACAGTCTCATGGATGTTGGCTGGGTGTAAAAAAAACGTATCCATGTTCCTCTCAGTGCTCCTTCAGGATTCCATCCCGCTCCAGTCCAATTCAGCTGGTAATTTTGTTGTTTTGCTGACACGAATGTCTTCAACAGGAAGAAGTGGGTCGTGACAATTTTGGTTGATTAGACACCTCTATACCTGAAGCTCTCTCTCCTGAAGAAGCTGTGACCTTGTGGACCATTGAACCATCAGTGCCTCATCAGCGTGGCTCTCAGGCTGCAGAGTAGTCTGTGTTCGTATTCTTCTAATCTTTTACCAGACTGGCCATTAGCTGCTCTGCTCAGTGATGCCTGAAGATCACAACCCACTCCAGAGAGTGGGTTACAGCTTGAAATCGAATTGTCTCAGCCAGAGAACAGTTTTAGCTCAGATGTTATGCATGCACATTTCTGTAGATCATTTGTTTTAAAGACATCTGTACCAAAGATAGGTCCAAACCAATTTTCGTCTACAAATGCTTGATGGCATGGCTATTTTTCTCAGAACCATATCAGACTTGGAATTGATTTTTACACCTCCAGAAATTGCACACCAGCCCATTTCTGAATTGCACACAGCTGAGACTCTTCAGCCGGTACCAAATCAAATTCCCTGATGGAACTGTAGACAAACTGACAAACTCTTAGTTCTGCTTTTCCTGTGTGAGCAGGAAGTTCTTTGAGGCCTGGGAGAAGTCTGACGTCTGGAGGAGCGTTTTCTCACAGGAACCTGGAACATCTGCTGTCTGCAGAGGTGGAAGTGGTAGACCATAGATGTGGTGCAGTGGAACAGAACCCTTCACTGTCACCATCAGGACCTTCTTCCTTCACTCCAGCTCATGAAATGTGTTCTGTGAAGATTGCAATAATGTCCAAAGGTCAGACAGATTTGACCTTTGAGCAATAGAATGTGAGTCGTGGCTGTTTCTTGGTCAGCAGCTGTGACATGTTGTTGCCAAATGATCATTGCTGTTTATTTAAACTGTCTAAATTTAAACATTTATTTTTAAACATGAAGATATTTTCCCATGTTTGTTATTATATTCATTGGCATTCACACAACTATTTTTAAGTTAGCTTCAGAATTGACATTTTTGTCACAAACATTGCAGAATATTCAAAAATAAATTCATTATACAGCTTTAAAATATATCATCTAAAGTGCTGTTGTCAACTAAAAATGCTAGCCACCTTTAAACATGGTGAAGAAATAAAAGAAAATAGCCCAACTTGCGCCAAGAGATAAATGTTTACAAGGCAGCATCTTATGGAGACAGCTGAAGGTCCAGTTTAGCTAAAAAGGAAAAGAAATACACTTAAAAATATAGTCAAATGTAGTCAAAGTAATGAAAATAGCTAAGTCAACAAACACAACTACAATTAGCACAAACTGTTTTAAATTAGTCAAAAACATTTCTTTTTTCAGAATAATTATTAAAAGGCTAACAACATCACCAAAATATCTAGAAATCAGTAAACAACATATCTAGGAGACATTTTATCAGCTGAATTCATTGAATTCACAATATATATATATATATGTATATATAATACTAGTAGTAGTACTAGTGGTGGTAGTAGTAGTAGTAATTATCCTAAACTACATCTCCACTTCATCTCATCTCTCATCTCGTCTGCCTATATGCAGCAGTCATGACTGTTCCACCCCTGGACACCAGGGGGCGCTTATCTTCAACAACATGACATAGCAACGTCACCATCCTCTTTGTCACCATTAAAAGGACAACACCTCAGTGTGAGAGAGTAGCAGGATCACATATCACAGCAGATTATACTTGTCTAGTCGGTCATGATCATCTGTGGTGAGATCATCTGACACTGGGATTAAGATGAGCATGAGCAGCAGCAGCAGCAGCAGCAGCAGCATCAGTGTGAGTGCTTCTACCTTATCTATGTGTAGGGTGTGTATGCGCCTCTGCCGAAATTACATCCTCACAGGAGATTATCTAATCCCAGACCAGGTTCTAAATCATTCTACCATTATTATTTGTCGGTGCTGGAAAAGCAAGGTGTTGGCAGGAGGTGTTGATTCTGTTGCTAGGATACGGTCCTGATCTTCAGAGGAGATGCAGTGATGGTGACGTGACCTGAGTCTGAGCGTTACACATGTCATGTGGACATGATGGTCTTCAGGTCACTCACTGGTCTTCTCCAGGCAGTATCATTGTATTCTGGAGATTCTGTGCTTCTCCACCAGATTTAAACACCGACGACACAGTTCTGTTACTGATGGTTTGAGTTTAAAACAAGATTGCTAAGATTCAAAGTTCTTGAAGCATTACCACAGTTGCATATGTGTGTGTGTGTGTTCACAGAAGAGAGAGAGGGAGCAGAAGAAGAGGCTGCAGCACTTCCTCAGTGACCTGGCTCTGCTGGGGTCATTACAGGTCAGAGCTCAGTTTAATCTGATTACACTTTATTCTATCATTATAAACAACATTACTCACCTTTTTACTTTTTCTACATTTCTGTCTGACAGGGATTTAAATACTTCCAGCCGTGGCTCAGAGGAAAAGAAGAGCTACTGCTGACTGTAGTCAACGAGGACCTGGTCTGTTCCTCACACACACACACACACACACACACACACACACAGACAACTGATGAACACAGTAAAGAAAAAGAAATACATACATATTTAATTTAAAAATAAAAAGGTTGAAACCAGTCAAGATGTTAAAAAAGAGGTATGAATAGTATGAAAAAATGAAAAATATTATAATTTTATTGAAACAATCAATGACATGAAATTATGTAAAAAATGTTATTTTCAACAGTGGCAATAATTATTTTAACACATCCCTTTAAAAAAAGTCAAAGTCAAGTGTATTACATGAAATGTTCTTTTGTTTGAAGCTCACGTCATCTCCTCGTCCGTCCTCCTGCAGGGCTGGTCTTCTCCAGGGTTCTTGGTCTCCAGAGCCTCCTCCTCCTCCTTCTCCTCCAGCGGCAGTGATGTTTCCCACAGCAGCAGCTCTCCCTGTTGTATGGACAGTGGCTGCAGTTCTCCCCTGCCTGGAGAACCTGGAGAACCTGGAGAACCTGGAGAACCTGGAGAACCGGGTGCTCCAGCAGAAAGCCTGTCACAAACACAGGGCAGGAGGCAGACACACAACATCAGGTGAATTCTTAAAGAGCACGAACCAAATAAAAGAAAAAGATTCACAGTAATATTTTCACACCAAAATCTTTTCCTTTCACAGGGAGCAGAGCAGTGAGGAACACCTCCTGCCTGCCTCTCCCAGTGAAAGAGAGATAGCTGTTCCTGTGAGTAATCTTCATCTGTGTCTGGAGTTCATTCATTTATTCCCTCACAGGAAACACCAGCGTGGACAGCTGCGTGTAAATATATAAATATATACTGTACATGTATATTTAGAAATATATGTAAAACACACACACACACACACACACACACATATATATATATATATATATATATATATATATATACTGTATATAAACTACAAATATAAATATACTACTGTATATAAACTACAAATACAAGCACACAAATCAAACACTACAATACCAGGAAACACAAGTGACACAAAATCAAACACTACAATACCAGGAAACACGTACCAGGTAAGTACCAGTACCTGGCTCAACAGTTAAGATATAAAAATATAAATGTCTATGTATTTTTTTATGTATTTTTTGAAGTATCTGCTCAGTGGTATACTTGTTCACTCCCCATCTCCTCCAACCTCCACCGTACAGGAAGTGAACTGCACCCTGTTTCTATTGGCCGGCTACGTCAAGTACGGTCGTCCCTACGCCTGGATCCGCTCCAACCACGAGCGTCTGGTCAACATCGGCGGCACCGACTCCATGGTCAAGGACACGCCCATGAAACTCAAGTCCATAACAGACTGGCTGAGCAGAGGTACGGAAACAAGGAGAAGGTTCCACAGATCCTCGTCTGTTGTCATTGACGACAGCAGCCGTGTCCATCACCCAAGGAGGATTTAGGAGTAAAACACAACCAGTGTTTCAGTTATCTGTGGAATGTCCTGAGGAGGAAAATAAAGGACAGGATGATAGGCAGGTTTTCTTTGGTGAACTTGAACCACATGAACTGCTTATTTCTCTTTTGGTAAAGAGAAAAAATATATTTGATTGGAGGCATCAAACTTTTTTCATTTTTGTAAAAATGTTTGTGAACGACACTAAAAAAATAAGGGTGTAACGTAGCCTACATGTTGCTAAAAAGTTTCCCCAAGTAACATATTCAGACAAAATACAACTCTAAGTGGCTGTGTGTTATTCAAAATAGGCAAATATTTACACACATATAAGATCCAATTGCTAAATTATCCAAAATAGGTAAAGTTAGCTCATAGCTAAAGAAAAATGCTGGTGAAAAAGTTAAACTTTTGCCAAAAATAATGAGAAGAAAGACAAACAATAACTTTTCTCTAAGCAAAACCATAACAAGCAAGTAATCCAAAACATGTACACAGTTGCACAAAGATAACTGAACAGAGAAATGCCAGATGTCAGCACACTGTATCTAAAAGAAAACAACTAAAGGATTCAAAAATGAAGGTTGAAAAAACGGGTCAAATCCAGCAAGCAAATAAATAAATAATAGCCAAACAATTATCACACTATTTTCTAGAGTTAGCTCCATGCTAAGATATAACAACCATGCATTAAATTAAAGCAGAGTCTAATATTAAGTTAAAACTTAACTGAAACTAGAAACATTTGCTGAAAGATGAAAACAGTCAGATGACCCAGGTTTTCAGCTTTATGTTAGCAAATACATTTAGCTTGCAATGAAGTGGTTAAGTACACAAATTAATAAGCAACAAAAAGCTAAAAATGAGTCGAAGCAATAACTAGTGTAAATTAAAAATGTTAACCTTGGTCATATTTGGTTTTCAGTTAAAGTATTCTCTGTGTCTGTGCAGGAATTCGAGTGTGGGACATGGTGAGTGAGCTGGTCTGTCTGTGCACCATCCCCTCACCTTCCAACCCCTTCGCATTGGACACGCGTTACATCCAAAGTCTTCCCCTCCATGAACGGTTCCTGGTCACCGGTGCTCTCCTCAACTTCCTGGAGATGTACGTGGTTTATGGAAACAAGGACGAGATGTACTACGACAAAGGTCAGAGTCTGCTGTCAGGAAATTCAAAGAATTCACCATCGATGGCGATGTTTTCCATCTGTCTGAGATTAATCATTAAATACAGCGGTATAATCATTGTTAGCCAGCAGGTGGCGCTTTTTAGCCATCACCTTAAAGATCTGCAGCCCTCTGCCTTGTCTCTAAATCATTGACGCAACAATTTTAACTGTGAAAACTTAAACATACAACCTAAAAAAGTCCCTGTATAAAAATAAGCAGAAATGTGTGAATAGGGTTAAAAATAGCTAAAAGAAAAAGGTCACTGCAGAAAGTTAAAAATAAGAACCTGGTTAAAGGTGTATTTGATAATAGTAGTCATGGAGAGGTTTGCTGAGAGCTAATTATTGGCGACGTAGTTACAGTATGTGAACGTTTAGCTGCCTTTAAAAGTCTCTCACCCTGATGTCATTTGGCAAAACCTTTAGGAAATATTCCACAGGTCACACACAACCTTTAAAAGTACCGGAATTGGACCTCAGACCACAGTTTGTACTTGGTTTGACATAAATATAAAGTATTTCTCCCCCTGCTCTCAGTGGTCGAGGAGGTGAAGCCTCTCAGACGTCTCCATGTCCAGGCCCTGCTGGAGCTGCAGAGACACAGGGAGACGCTCAAGTCCCAGAGTGACGGGTCTCCACCTCCACCCAATGGAACGCAGAAATGAAGCGTCTGTGCTCATGTTGATATAATGTTCTGAAAATTCTAGGAATCAAGTCACATGACTCCCAGAACCAACAGCAGTCTGAACCTCTGACCCGCTCTGAACCCAAACCAGCCTGGAGCCTGAGAGACTTCTGTTTTCATCAGGACTAATATAACCTGAGAATGGGGGGGGGGGGGGGGGCGGGGGTGTGTGTGTGTGTGTCTTAGTGTTGTGTTTGTGTCTGCATCTTTCTAAATCTGCAGACTTGTTGTCTTTTCCAAATAAAGCAGATTCTAAACTAGCCAGAGATGGTGTAGGGTTTTGAAGCAGCAGTGCAGCTCAGCTCAGTGAGGACACTGCACTGACCTCCAAACAACCACTGTACAAGAGTATTCAACAACATAGAAGAGCCAGCTCCTCAGGGCAGGACTCAGCTCTTCATCTTCATCGGGAGGACAAAGGACAAAGGACACACCTTTGTGGATGAGGATGTACATGTCCTCACCAGAGAAGACAGATGGTTTGAGACACAACCTTTCATCCACCTATAACGTCGTCCTGAGTTCTCTCCACAAAAAAAGTCAACCTCCCTCTCTGAAAACAAGACCACAGTTTCATGCCAAAGGACACCCAGCCAAAAGTGTCGCTCAGGTGAAACCATCAGTCCATAGTCTATGGTATCACTGCCCATTCACACCTCTAACCTGGTGACTTTACATTCCACCCTCCTTAGAATAGGGTTTCACCACACCTCCATCCCCACTTTCTGCAACGACCCTCGTTACAGGTATGGTAAAAAAAAAAAAAAAAAAAAAAAAAAAAGCCCTCAATGTAACTATTTTTGAATTAAATGACCTGGATGACAGAGGACAGAGAACAGAATTTGTGTAAAAACATTTTAATACTTGATAAAAAAAAGTACAAATATAACAATATTATACATATGTACATGGACCAAACAGTACATGGATAAAATACTTCTTGAAAGCAGGCACTTGAACCTCCTCCTCCAGCAGAGACAGGGACAAACAGACAGACAGACAGAGGGACATAGACTGACACACAGATAGTGAGACACAGAAAGACAGAGACAGTGAGACAGAGACAGAGGTGCCATTTGTTAAAAACAAAAAACATCAGTCATCAATAAAACAGCCGATTTAAAAAAATCAGAGTCAGAGGAGACAGAAGCTCGGCCTCAGCTTTGTCACCTGTAAACTACAGACAGTCAGAACGACCGTATTTTAAAAAAAAAAAACAAAAACTAAAAACGCCTATGGCTTTGGATCCATAAGTGGAAGCACAGCAGCATCAGAAGAAAGGTTCTCCAGAGAAACACTGTCCACTGTCGGCTCTCTCTGTTTGGACACACAGGGCTGCCATTGTTTCAGAAGTCAGTGAGCATCACTGCAGAGAAGGCACAAACACACACACACACACACACACACACAAGTGCTGATCCAGAAGAGGGTTCTGTTGACTCAGCAGGTTCTAGTGTTTGGACCCAGCTGCAACCACAGTATTTAAAAAAAACAAACAAAAAACCCAAAGACTCATCAGAACATGACCTGACACGTTCAGGCGTCACTTTAGCGGGGGTTCATTTTTCAACAAAACTGCATTTGATGATGTGCTTCATCTTACTGTGACGTACCAGCAGTCTGTCCACTGTACAGCTTCATATGTGACGTAAACTGAGTGTAGAGTAACAAGTGTGTTCACACCTGGACAGACTGTTCACAGAGGATCACAAAGAGACCAAGTGTCTGCTGAGAACCTTCTAAGGACCATCAGAAGGTTCGTTCATTCATTTTGTGACTTTCATCTCATCATCTCTGAACCAGGTCCAGTAGAACTCAGTGGTTGGTAACGTCCACACCTGTTCAATTAAACCTCAGAAGCCAAACTGTCATGACAAGTGTGAACGCACCCAAAAAACAACAAACAAACAAAACAGGGTTCAATCAAACAGACACAGTCCCATCAAACATGGACACACCCTGAGAATGTTTGAACTAAGGAAATAAAGAGACGCTCAGACATGAGTGCCACTGATGTGCGTTTGTTAAAACAGTCTTTCGAAACATCTGGACTCTCCTCTTTGGCGTCTTCAGCCAGTTCAACCCGAGGTTCATTTGCTCAAAGGCAGCACCAGTATCGGCTGAAGTCTCACTGCTCTCAGCTCTCACGGCCCTTGAATGTTTGGAAGCAGTCGACAACGGACAACGCGGCCCTTGAACGTTTGGAAGCAGTCGACAACGGACAACGGACTAGCTGCCGAGTCGCAGCCTTTCAAGTCCTCACACTCACTGGTTCTACCAACATCCTCTCACCAGACTCACACAGTACAGGTCCAAACAGGGACTTCCCCACCTCCTGGTGCCGACCCCTCCGTTTTCCGTCTTGTCATAATCCCTCCTCCCTCCTCCCTCCTGTCAGTACAGTCACCCTTGAGGTTGTTGTGAGATTGATGCTTTGCAGGGTTTAAAATGGTTCAGAGATGTTCAGTTCCAGCCATCTGACGCCGACCCTCGTCTGGTGATGGCCCTCACGGGGCTGTGGGACACGGACCCTCTCTTCTTCCAGCGGACTGATGAAAAGAAATGAAAAGAACAGCAGGTGAGTGAAGCAGTGGTGACGACTGTGTTTAAATATTAATGAGGTCAGTTTGTCAGCACCGCAGCGCTCACTCATTGACTAAAGCTTTTGGTGTCGGAGGTCGGTGGACTCACCTTTTCCCAGACTGGTTGGCAGGGTGGAGTTCTTTGTACTGTTTGGAGAGTTCAGCGACTCCTCCGCTCGTTTCGCTTTCGTCTCGCTGGCTGGCAGCGTCGTCGATCCGTCCTGTTGCCAGTCGCTCAGCGCTCGCTGGAAGGAATCAGCCAAGCAGGCAGTCATGTCCTTGGCCCGCTCTGCTCGGCTGCACCAGAACACCCGACAGTGCAGCTGCTTCCCGTGGTGCTTGCAGATGTACAGGAAGATGTTGGGCCTGTTGGCGTCGGCGGTGCAGTAGGCGATGTCCTGCAGGTACGTCTTGGTGAGCTGCCGCCCGGTGCTCAGCTCTTTGACCTCCACGTAGCGCGGTCGCACCACCAGAGCGTGGTCCTTGCTCAGCTTCTTGCCGTTGGCGATACCGTCCAGCATGTGTTTGATGGCGTCCTGGGCCTGCTCTCGGTCGAGAGAGAAGATTTTCTCGGTGCCCAGGTAGTGGACCTTGAAGAGAGGGTCTCCGTGGGAAAGAGATTCGGTGCGGTCGCGGCGAAAGCGGCGACGAAAAGCCGCAGGAGAGTTTTTGATGGTCTGGACCAGGTGGAAGCTGCCGAGAGACATGGTTGGGCTTCAGCTCTGGGGGAGCAGATGTTTCCACCTTGTTGTCGACCTTCCTTCTAAACAGAGCAGAGCTGCATCCACTGCTCCAGGCTGGAATAAAACAAAGAGCTGGACGTTAACACGTGACAACGTCAAACCGTCATTCCTCAGGAATGAAGACAAACACCGTCACACCTTTGGGACAACCTAAGAACACCTCCTGTCGGCACAACGTGAACCACTGTATGGTAACAATTAAAGTCACCGAGCAGGAAAGGTAACAGGTGAGACTACAAGTCAGAACCACAAACTACAGCCATTAAATATTGACACCGGGCAGCAGGTGGAGACGTGGTAAGACGGTCAAAGGTCACAGAGGTACGTGACACACCTGACTGTGACCTCGCTCAGTCCATGATTATGCAACTGCTGACCCCCCCCCGCTCGCCCCCCCACTAAGACCCTGGACCACATGAGCTCCATTGTGTTTGTGTTTTTTTGATGCCTGTTCTGGTTTCTTGGCCATTCTTTCTACATCCTCGCTGCCTGTTCAGGACTTTCACAGACAGAACCGCCCACTGGTCTGAGTAGGTGTGCATTGTTAGACAAGTCCCGGTGCAGGAAACAGCTTTGACCCCCCACCCCCACCCACCGCCCTTAAATATTTCTGCCACAAACAATGGCATGTTTCTGGGAGTGTGTCACATCAGCAAAAGGAAGAACGTTAGGATCTAAAACCCCAAACCTCCAACCTTCAGGGCGGCAGCCTTCTTTACTCCGTCAACACGTCTATTCCTGGGACGGTAAATAGATGCACAGTGTGTAGATAAGACAACACGGTCTGGGCCGTTGTCTGACAGCTTTTAGACCCCAAAACTGGGTTTGTATTTTAAATCAAGTCTGAAGTTACATCTTTGTTCCAAACACACTTCAGTTGGAGCAGGAATTATTCAGAGGTGACTCTGATGTCATTCATCCTTAGAACTCAGACTTTTTATTTTTTTATTATAGTTCCGTTTCCCAGAATTCAATCTTTGGTTGAAAGACCCATCGAATTACACACAGGTTGCACCTAAAAATAAAAGGTACCTATTTGTCACATTTCTGTAGGACGTTCGCAGCATTCACAAATAACCTAAAGACACTCTTACTGATTAAAGTGCAGATTTTTTTGTCAAACAAATGCAGAAATACACGAGATGAAACACATTCGACTAACTTATGACCACTGTGGCTCAGTGTGTTCTCAGATCTACACATTACTCACGCTCATATGATCTAGAAGCGTTCACTTCATCCAAACCAGCAGTCGATTAATCAACCAGAACGCATTTAATCATTTAAATGACCAACACATATGATTGAAGTTATAGAACCAGAGACAAACGCTGGTCAGTCTAGGCTCCATACATTTCTCTCAGGTGTTCGTTGTATTTCTCAACATCTTCACATTTCTCACACTGTCAAGACTCAAGTACAATTAAACATTTTTTCTTAAAAAAAGACATTTTTCAATTACAATTCCATTACAAAGCCGATTGAACCAACAGGTTCTATTTTAAACAACTCACACTTAGAGTCACAAAACTAGTCGTTAATCAGTAAAATGACTGTGTTTTTTCATGGAAAACGTGTAAACGAGAAGTATTTACAGCACAGGTGCTTTTCCCCACAACCCAGCGGCTCTTACCAGGTCAAACTTCTCCTCACGTGCCTCAGGTGTGAGTCCAGTCCGGCGATACCTGCGGCTCCACGCTGCTGCAAACAGCCGTAAAAATGTCACCGTTTTTCCCCGTCACGGTGGAAAATAAGCCGCAACCACGGGAGTCGAGGAGAGCAGAACCGACAGCAGTACAGACCTCGGACAGACAGTACGCTCCGTGCTGTGTTTGACCTCAGAGTGATTCCCGCAGTCTGTGGACAAGGTTTTTAAACTGAGCGGATGCGCGGGCGCGTCACACACGTGGACGAGCGCTTGTGTCTGCGGGGTGAGGAGAAGGAGGAGGGTGAGGAGGAGGAGGAGGTGAAAACTGTCACGAGGAATTTGTTGGATGAACAAACTGAATGGATTACTATTTACCACCTCACAGAGACAATGACATATGATATTTAACTGACTTAAAACAAAGAGGTCGAAGGCAAAAACATCACGAATCATATTTGAGCAGAAAAACTGTCCACATTATTGGGTATAAATGGAAAATCAGGTGTTGTGGTCTCATATCTGAGCAGGAAAACTGTCCACATTACTTATAAATGGAAAATCAGGTCTTGTGGTCCAACTCTTTTGGCAAAACAAAAGTTTACCAACATTTCTGGTAACTGAGTTACATTTAGGACAGATTAGAACCTATGGGACCTACTGGGATTTAACCAAGTACAATGCTGCTCTCCTCACACCAGTTATAATAGGTTTCAAGGACTTATTAACATGACAACTTGATCAAATGTCCAAACTATTTTTTTATTAACTTTTAAGTTTCATTTTGGTTCAAGGTTTCACATTTTTGCACTATATTTTTGTACTTGTCTTTATGCTACGTTTTACTAATTATTTCTTGGTCAACTTGGCTGATTCTGGCACATTTGAGCTCCATCGTACGTTCACAACGGACTTTTCTCCTAACTCTAAACCATTTTGCTGTTCTTCTATTCAAGAAGTTATTTTTCATTTGAAACCTCTTTATTTAAATGTTTCTTTTCTTGCTTATATTAAACTAACTTTGCCTTGAATAACTCTTTCTCATTGTACAGATTTGACCTCACTTGTGCGTATTTTATTCTTTCTGGAATGAGGTCAGTGTTTATCTCTTAGAAAGAGCAGCAGCAGCGGCAGCAGCAGCAGCAGCAGCAGCAGCAGCAGCAGCAGGTTAAAGGCTAAAGAAAGGCTAAAGACGTCTCTCTGAAGACCTTCGTTGTCTCCACCCTGATCCCTCAACACTACATCTTTCTTCTCACATCTGTGCCTTTGGAAAATCTGACATCATTCCAGGAGCCCAGGACAACAGCGTTCCAGGTAAAAAGTTCCACTTAAGTTGGTTAGAGCACATGAGAAGTGTCAGACGGAGAAAACATCTGAAACCCACTCCCTCTCTCACTGCGTCACAGTCGGCTCTAATGAGGATCACTGGCTCAGGTTGGCTCCAAGTAAATATTCCGGGCCATTCTGGGAGAGTGAAAAGTGTTTCCATGTGTGTGCTGGGCTGGGTGTGGGCACACGAGGGGGAACAGTAGGGCTCCTGTGTTTCTCTGGGTATGGACCAAAAACAGTTAGACTCTGAACGTCACACTGGCCCCGGAGCCTGGTGAGACACACTGGAACTATTCTTAGGGTACCGGTGACATAACGGTCCATCTCAGACAGGTCGCCCCGCCCCCTCCACAACTGCCGTCAAGAACAGTGTCAGCATCTGAAGCAGAGCAAATGTGCAGCTGCAGCCCTGGTACTGAGACACGTTGGTCTGCAAACACAAACACAAACACTTCCTGACCCACTTTTTGGTCTTTCTGCCTGGTCGTGCTTCTTTTTAAAGAATGACTTTGGTTCTAAAAGAACAAACGTTCAAGTTCTTGGCGTCACACAGATATCAGTTGTTTGGCCTGCGTCAGACTCTCCAACAGTCGTAGGCAGCGCTAACGTCAGCTCCAACATCAACAATTTCTCTCTGCACCTGCTTTTAGATAAAGGCTGCAGTACTGTGCTTCCTATACACTCTAGGGGGTGCTATATAAATCTGATTTGTCAGTAGAAATGTCTACATGAAAAAAAGATCTGATTAAGTCATGTAATCTGTGAACCACTAGTCCATGACTGGTGATCTGCTGCGTCAAAGTTACTGCACATGACATTGCAGCTAAAAATGGCACAGAGCCGCAACGTTAGCGAGAGCTGCACACCTCCGATAGAATTTTCATGTATCGATGTCTGGCTGAATATGGCAGAGAACACAACTGTTCACAGCTGCAACAATTCACTCCACACACATGAATGACCAGCCCAGAGCTCCAACACTTCGTGCTGCCGTACACCACCAGCATGGTTCTAATGGCAGCTCTCTGGTTAACATTCTCACTGTGAAATGACAACATGCTACCTGCTATCTACAGCTGCTAGCTACCTCATGACCTTCACATGACTTTTCTGACAGCAGTCAACAACAAGGATGAAATACTAAAATATGTGCATGTCAATGTGATGTGGATTTGATGTGAATGTTCGAGCTTGCTACTTTAGTTAGTATAACGTAAGAATAAACTTCTCCAGGCCTGGAAGTCTTCAAACACTTCCTTATTGACATGTGTCAACAGCCGGGAGGGAGCCAGAAAGACATCCATTCAGCTTCAGCTGCAGATCACAATGATCATAATTCATTTTAAATAAATGCTAACTAAAGCTAAAGTTGATAACCGCTAACTTTAAGCAATTAAAGTCAACTAAAGGTCATAAGAAATGTTGTTACTTCCTAAAATGTGTCTTCTGCTGTACTCCAGGCTGATTTGTTAGCTAACACTGGGATGTCACGCTAGCTGTGTGGACAGACTGACTTTGTGGAAAAACACCACAAAGTCAAAAACTATACAGCTCTTTTTGTAGGCTAAAGTTTATAGCTTCACCCAGAAGATGGATTTGTCCACTCTGTTGATCACTGTCCTGACTTTTATAGCCATGTTATGGTGTAATCCATCAGTATCACTGTCAGGTTTATGGTTCAAAAACATCTAGTACTGAGCAGTATACTGGAAGTGAAGTCGAGACACATGCAGCGATATAGTTAGCAGGAGATGTCATCTAAAGATCACCTGACTTCTTACCATAAGTCAGAATGGCATGTTTGTGTTCTGGTGTTCCCGGCAGACTGGGCTTCATATTGTGTTTGCGGTACTACAGCTTTAGCATAGAGATAAATAAAAAAAAGAACAGAGAGAACTATGAAGTATATGAAAGAAAGCAAGAAAATATTGGCTCTGATGGAGTTTTATTCAGTCAGTCAAGTCAATGAAGTGACTGTGGTTTCTACACAGAGCAGACAGTTCTTATACCAATCCTTCTGTGCTGCAACAGAGCCAATTAGCATGTGAGCTAACAACAGCTAACCAAAGGTAACGCCACATGTCTTGGCTGTTCAGGAGGGTTTTTTAAACAGCTACTAGTTTAAAATTAACACATTTAATGGGTCATCACAAAGTGGCTAAAGAGTTCTGGGTCAGGCTGTGACATATCATGATGAAACAAACATTTCTGTTATTTTTGTAGATTGTAAGAAGTGCACTGAAATGAATGGGCCACTAGATCCCTGTCACGCAGGCACAGAGGCATTAGAGGTCTGCAACACTGCAATCAAAAATCAGTGCATCATTTCAAAGATCTGCCTAAAGGAGGGAGTAACCCAACAGGGATTTTTCTGTTGGGTTCAAAAGTACTGCTCTGTACTGAAAAGTCCTTTTTTCAACAAAAGAAAATGATGTTGGTGAAACGACCGCCACTCCTTTAAGTGGAAAAAGGAAAAGGGTGGTGCACACAAATACACTACACGCATGTACTGCATGAAAAGCTCCTTTAATGGAGGTGAGGTCAACATTGACCTTCAACCAAAACAAAACCACAGTGTGCTTTTAGCAGGAAGAAAATCTGGAGACAGCCCAGTCCGAATGTTAACCCCTAACCTGAGCCCACCAGTTACTGTCGGGTCTCTCTATCAGGCTGTTCTGCTGAGTTTCCACCAGGTCAGGAGAAGAGCAGCTCTGCTAAGATTAGCAACAGAGCAAACAGATAATATAGAAAGTAAACAGACACTGTATGAACTCCCGTTGACTCCCAGACACTTCTCTTTTCTATCTTAAGAAAACTGCTGTAAATCAAAATACGTTACAACAACTGTGGCACTGAATTCACACACGTGCACGAGCGCGAGCACGAGCACCTTCATGGCAGACGTGAACGTACAGTACTGAGTCAACATTTCTGGATAATTCCAACACTGAACTGTTCAACTGCCAGAGCTAGAAGAACATGACAGACTGTCCCTGGCACTGATGCATCAGAGTCATTATAATAAACCAGTCTGGCTCAAAGGCCCCGCC